CAGCGCCCGCCACGGCTTCCGCCGACCCTCCGCCGTTCCGAGATCGACTCCCGTCTCGAGGTCGAACAAGGTGGAAACAGGATGGCCCGCGCGCCGCGCCGCCGAGGACGCCTGGGGGTGGAAGAGTTCACAGAAGACCGCGCGACTGCTCGCGGCGAGGGCCGCTGCAACCCCCCTTCCTGCCACGACGCCTTTGACCGCGAAGGCTGCAGCCCGCGAGGGCGCGGGCAGCGGCCCGACGGGCGCCCTGCGGGGCGGCGGATCGCGGCGGGGGCCACGAGGAGGATCTGGTCCTTTGCGAAGGACTGCCCAGCATCCGAGGATCGGCCCAGCTGGGGCCTCCGAATCGAGAGGAGCTCGTCCTCGGTAGCGAGCAGGTCTGAGGGCGGGGCCACCTGAGGCCTGGACCAGAAACGCGATCGAACTTTCATCTGACCGCGCTTACAGCCGCCTAGGTCATCGACCAGACCTGCCACCGAGGCCGTCGCCCACAGCGCGCCCAGGATTGTCTCTCCGAGCCCCCCGGCCTGACCCTCCACATCGATGCGCTCGCCGACTCTGGCCACTCTCAATCTCTCGAGGTGCCGATGAAGAGGGCGAGCGAGATGAGGGCGCCAGGTTTCTGCAGGGCCAGCTCAATTAGCCAGGAGGCCTTCTCGAGCCTTGATAGGTTTCTGAAGCCACGACCAACGCTCTAAACAACTTCGCCGAATTCAACCTGACGATCCGCGTCGAGGCCCCAGACCAGGGGCTCGACGCCGGGGCCCGGGGCGCGGGCCCCCGCGGCCGCGGGAAAGAAGCGTCGAGAGGCTCTGCGCTCGAACATCTCTGGGATCCAGGCTCGGTGCCCGCCGAGTCTCCTGGCCGACCGGAGACCTGCCCAAACAAAGGAGGGTCTTAATTGACGAGGGGGTCCCGAGGAAATGCCGGCGCAAATTTCGTCGGCGGCCCTCTGATCACAGGGGCTGGGCACGGACAGAAGACAGCGGCCGCCTGCCAGTGTGGACGCGGACTGCTCGCTCAGATCACCGATGCGGACCCGTCCGTGGACGCTCCGCTGGCTGTCGCCACAGCCGTCGCCAGCTCGGTCAGGCGGCTGATCTGCCCTGGGTCGCCACCGTCTCCTGGTTCCTCTCGAACGCAGTCTGCAGCGCCCCGATCGCTTGCCGATCCTGTGGCAGACCGTTCCCGCTTTCACCGCGGGGCCCGACTAGGCCGCTGGAGCCCCTGGAGAAAGCTTCATCGTCGGGCGCATCTTGACTAGAGCACCGGCGGCCTTCCGTGGCACGCCGTCTCGATGATCGCCGCGAGAGGCAGGCTCATCGCCAGCCTGGCAACGGGCGGGAAGTCGCCCTCCTTCACATCGCGCGGCTCGAGCTTCGCGAGCCCGCGGGCGCGACGACGGCGCACCTAGCACATCGCGCACTTGATCCGCGAGCCGCATCGCCCCCCCACCCCCGCTGCGCCGAGCCGCCGTCGGCCGCGGGCACGCGGCGCCAGAGTCCTCGGCCTTCGCGAAATATCCCAGCCTCGGAGCCAACATCTCCAGCACGCGCGCGTCGAGGCACGTCGTCATGACCAGCGGGGGCTCGAGGCCGAGACAGCGCCGGCTCTGGGGGCCCAGGCCCAAGCAGACATTGCCCTCGACGAGAAACTGCATCTCAACCGTCGACAGCTTCGCCGCGCTGCGCTCCTGTGCTCGAAATTCCGAGACGCGCCACTGATCGGGATTCACGTCCCACGAGTCGGCATCCATGGCAGGTTCGAGATGCACCCGGCGACGGGCCGTGCTGCGCAGGGCCGCCGCCGCCCCGCATCGGCGGGCTGTCCTTCCGAGCCCTGCGCGCCCCCCGCGACGGCGGGGGAGAAGCGGCTGCTTGCTCGCAGCCGAGCGGACAGGAAGTTCGGGGGCTTGGTTGAACCGAGAGAGGCCGCGGTGGTGCGGAGTGTTCCCCGATCAACCAGTTCCCCCGACCGTGAGACCCCACCGCTGTGACTAGCAGAGAGAATCAGAAGAGGAAGAGGAGGACTGTTACTCGAGGCGGCTCGGCGAGCCCTCAGCCCCTGGTCGTCGACGCCACGCCCGCCGGAGCCCTCCTCCACGGACTCCACCGCCTGGAAGGCCGCCGCCTCGATCTTCGCGAGCTCGGGAAATCGCGCGGCCAGTCGAGGGCGACGGCGGAAGCCGGCCATTCCTCCGAGCTGTCCAGGACGCCGAGCGATGCCCAGACGGCAGCCCCATCAACTCCGGCTCGTCCTGGCTGCCTTCGCGGTCTAGCGGCTAGCGTCGCCTGGCCGCTCTTGAAACCCGCCATCGCGCCACGGGGCCCCACATTCTCAGCGAGGAGAAGCGGGGGGCCAAGGCGAGGGGGGGCGTGGAGCTCGACCACGCCGCGGCCAATCATGGACGCGCGCGCGATGGCTTGGCCCAGGGGCCTCGCGCTGCCGCCGACGCCACGGGCCGCTAGGAGGTCCTCGCAGCGCGCTCGCGGACGTCGATCTGGTACCCCTTCTTTTCGAAGGCCCCGCCACGATGCCCAGGTAGGTCTGGCTTCCCGGACACCGGACAGAGCCTGCGCAGCGGCGGCGTCAACCAGCGCGTGGAGCCTGAGGCAACTCAGGGAAATCTACGCCAAGGCCATTCTGCCGTCGTCGACGCTTTCGAGGTCGCGCAGCATCAGAATCTCGAGGGCGAGTCGGCCCAACTTGATCACCCTCAGGTAGCTCGCGCCCTGGGCCCGCGTGGATCTCCGACTCCTCCGCCGAGAAGCTGAAGCCCCGGCCGATGCTGCCGCCGTCGCCGAGACTGAAGTAGTAGGCGGCCAGGGGAGCTTGCTGTGGGGAGCTCTCCGATCCGGCTGGTTCTGTTCGCCCGTCATCCTGTCCGCCTTCAATCGGCGCGCTCTCTTGCAATCGCTATTCCAGCGCCCCGCCCCTCCGCGGCTCGCGCGCCGAACAGGGCACATGATACACCGACTCGGCATGCGTCGACAGCATGGCTTCGGGGGAGAGGCGGCGCCCACTCTCTTCCTGGCCACGATCCGCTTTTGTCTACCGAATTTAGCTGCTTCGCTTCCGCCCGGATTCGTCGACGACGAGGTTCCGCGTTCTCAGCGAAGACCTCGAAGACTTCCGGCTCTCCTTGAACGTGTTCCTCGAGAGCAACGACGAGAGCAACGACGAGAGAGACTGCTTCTTCATCTTCGATCTCGACTTCGACAAGGTCCATCTCGTGGGTGTCCTTATCCTCGTCCGTGGTCTGATCATGAGTCTCGACAAAAGCTTGTGAGCTGTCCTTGCTAAGCATGGGCAGATCTCGATTGCTCTCTCGTGCCCGGAATGGACAATGCCCCTCTCATGGCGTCGAACGTCTTGCGTCCGGCCGGAAGAGTCTTGAAGTTGACACGGTTCTGGCTGGTCAACATAGTTCCTTCTTCGTTGTATCTGGTCACGTCACGTCCATGCCGTTGTAGATTCGAAAGGAAGCCCCTTCCCTTTGATCCCTTCCCAGAGGGGCGGGGGGCCGGATGGGGGCCGGGGGGGCGGAGGGGGGGGTCCCGGGGGGGACGGGGGGGGGGGGTGGGGGGGGGGGGGCAGATTCGTTTTTCCTCGGGCGGCCTAGAAACCTCGAAAACACTCCAAATGAGGTCCGAATGCCCAAGATGGCCCCCGAGACGGCCCAAGAGGGCCCCGAGTCGCCCAAAGATCGGCCGGAAACGACCAAGATAGCCCCAAGACCGTCCAAGAAGCATCCAAAACGTCCCAGGCCCCCTCCAAGAGACCCCCAGGAAGCCCCAAGAGGCCCCCACGAGGCTTCCAAGCGGCCCCTAAGAGCTTCCCAAGAGGCCCACCAACTACCCCCAAGAGGCCCCCAAGAGCGCTCGTCGTCGTCGTCGTCGTCGTCGTCGTCGTCGTCACCATTCAGGGTCGGCGGCACCGGCCGTAAGGCCTTCGCAATCAAACCAAACCTGGTCGCCTACTGCCAGCGATGATTTGACAAAACGGCACATGACAAAATGAACGGCGTTCCCGTCAATGGCAAAAGACAGCTACGCCGTCGTCGCTGTCAAGCGGGTGTCTGATGGTGCGAAGCTCCCCTTGCAGATCCAACGGGAATGACCCCACTACATTTCTTGTTTTCACGAATGGCCTGAATCCAACCGTTTTGGCCCACGAGTTGGTGTTAGACCTAAACAGATCGAGATGCTCAACCCCTGGAAATGGCGGCGGGAACGCTCTTCGGGCCGATCGTATCTTGCGAAGGGCTTCCGCGAATTCTCGGCTCACCACTGATCCTGGTGCCAATACGGATGCCACTTCCAGGTCTGAGACCACCAGCTCCACCACTCATGTCGTCTCCATGAACACGCAAGCACGTTGCAACCACAGTAATCGTGCTACCAGAAAGAACACCATATAAGCGATGCCGCTAGCATTCCAGAGCTGAAAAAAAAACAGGGCCCAAGTTAAAAGTGAATGTCAACCAAGACGAACAGCACGTTAAAAACAATATCTGCGTGCGCCCGAGAGGGCCACGCGCAGTCGACACGATGCTGGCTCCATGGGTCCTCGGGGTGGGGTGGTTCTGTCTTAGTCTTCTTGTCCGTCGAGCCGCCTCTGGTGTGGCCCGCGGCATCTCTAGCTTCTCTGCCGTGTCGTGCTGCGCCTTGGGGTCCGGCTGTGCCCTCGTCGGCCTCGTGCTGCGCCGTCCCCGCCTCCCTGGCCTCAAGGCCCACGCTCCTGCTACCATTGTCTGCACGAGCGGAAGACAGGAGGAGAAAAGGAGGAGATACGTTTATCAGCAAGGGGCCGTGCGATGACACCTCAAAGCTTCGGGCGGTTCGACACGGGCGCCATGAGCCCGAAGGGCTCCGAGCAGCACCCTACCCTCTGTACCCCCCGCGCTACGCCAGGCACGTGAGAAAAAGGAGAGGAAGAGGGGACACACGACAAGGGGCAGACAGAGCAGCAAGTAGCAGGAGAAGCCCTCGGGGCAGGTCCTGACGTCCGCGAGGAGGCCCTCCTCCTCCGCCGCCTCCTCCGCCGTGGGCCGCACGGTGCCGAAGAAGAAATCCTCCCAGCGGTCGTCCACCTGAGGGCGACGAGATCTACACACATCCACCGCCGTTGGCCAGGCCCATCCTGGGTACGGGAAAGGTGTGCCTTACCAGCCTCGAACGTATCCCTATCCCCAGGATTGACACGCCAAAAGGCGATGACCATCTTAGGGATTCGCCCTCAACAAGCAAGGGAATCCCTAAGACTGGCATCGACAGGCGATGACAATCTTGGGAATGCGCCCTCAAAAAGTAAGGGAATCCCTAAGATTGGCGTCGTGATGAGGAGTTGCCCAGCACAGGGATAGGGACATGCTCCAGGCCGGTGAGTGCCTGCCTCCGTGGCCAAGCCAGAAGGGGGGCGTACACACCGCTCCTGGGCCCAAGGATGGGCCTGGCCCGCGGCGGTGGATCTGCATGGGCTCCGTCGCCCTGCGCCTCGTCCGCGGACGGGGCCCCCGCAGCGCAGCACGGGAAGCTGAAGCGGAAGACGCTGCGGATGCGCTGGACGCCCGGCGGCTCCGAGTCCGCGTCGAAGCCCTCCGGCAGCGGGAGGAGAGGGTGCTCGGGCTGCCGAAGCACAAGGATCACACCGACAGTCGGCGCCGGGAGAAAAAGAAGGTGCCGCGACAACGTCCCGATCGGAACTCATGACTCGATCTCCAATGGCTATGCCAAAGTTTCCAGGCCGGGCCAATCCGTGAGAGCCATGGAGCCCAAGACAGGACAAAAACGCCTGTCGCACTTTTGTCTCAGGTTTCGCCCCCAGCACCGAACTCCCTCGCCTGACTGAAACAACTTCCATCCTGCCGCACTTCGCTTCTAGATATTAGCCTAGAGAGGCATGTACTGCTGATGGCCAGACAGACCCGATATACAAGGAAAGGATGCTATATTATATAAAGGGAACGAACAGGACAAAATAAGGATGGCCCGACGAGGTCGACAGGGGGATATGTTTAACAGGAAAAAGGATGGAGGAGAAGAAGAAGAAGCCCCCGTGACTTCTGGAGTGGGAGACGGACGAGGAGGGGGAGGAGGAAGGGGAGGAGCGCGAGGAGAAGGACGGGGAGGAGGAAAAGGAGGGGGGGAAGAGGATGAGAGAGCAAGGAGGAGGCAGGGAGGAGGCAGGAGCGAGGGAGGAGGCAAGAGGGAGGGAGGAGCCCAGAGCTCCGACGCCGTGACATTGCAGCGGCACGCACCCCGACCGACTTTTTATCCAGAGCCGCCTTCTCACAGCACCACTGCCCAGCAAGTGAAGGCGACCCAAGCAACCCCCACACCGACCACGCCACTTGATATATCAAATCTGTCGCCGCGCCGTTTGTCCTGAACGCGCCCGTGTAGACGAAGCCGACACCACGGCAAACCAACGGCAAACCTTGCGTCCGAGGAAGATTTTGCCCTGGTGGCCGAGCCGCCCTCCAGGACGTAAGGCCGCGCGTCGGAACAAACGGCGCGGCGACATATACAAAAAACTCAAACCTTCTCTCTTCTCTGGGCCCTGTGAAAAAGGTGACCGCTGTCCACCTGCTTGTGCCCCAGGCGAGGCCCCTGGCAAACGGCAGAACACATAAAATCGACGACGGGGCGGGCAACGCCCACATACTTCCACTCCAGAATGCCACGCGCGAAATTCACTGGAGCACTGCTTAAGTCGTGCCTGCAAGCACATGCAGCGGCGCATGTCTACAAGCGAAGAAGCCCAGATGATAAAACACAGCTGCTGCTGCTGCATATACACAGAACGGAGTCCGCACGAGTATTCAACAACCAAGCTCGCGGCGAGTTGTAATACTCTCTCGCGTTGGCGCATCGACGAAACCAACGGCGAGCCTCGGCCTCGATTACGTTTTCCGACCTAGCTCTAAGGAACGGCCCAAAAACCCGAGCCCCTCCCGAGCCCAAAGCGGTTCTTATGTCAGCGTCTGTGAGGGACGTGTCTGGGCCCTGTTCTATAGGGCTCCGCAGAAACAGCACAGAACATCGTGCAGTGTACAATGTCCAGGCTGCTCTGTGGGCGACAGGTGCCGAACAACACATTCTTCTGTTTGGGCCGCCATTTGCAGCTAATAAGTGGGCAACTATAGCATGGCATAGTGCACAGATTCGCGGTCCCGAGCGTGGCCGAACAACTGCTGCAAACCTCGAGCCCCGAGCTTCCTCCGATAAAGCGCCGAGAGGCTCCTCGGGCAGGAGGAGGGCCTGCAGGTCGCCGTGCGCGCGGTCCAGCACCTCGGCGCGCGACGGAGCTGAAGCGGGCCCCGAGGGAAGCGGGCCGCTGGACTAGAGGAATCCTAGATGGGGCCCGAGTAGATGAGCTCGAAGGATCGCACCGCATCGCCAACGCATCGGCGATGTATCAGCGATGCATCGGCGACGTCGGCGACGCGTCCGCGACGTCTGCGTGGGGAAAATCGGGGGGGAAAAGCTTTGCAGAAGATGGCGGTCGTTTAAACCTTTGCACTTCTCTACAGAGGAGTGACATGTATAAAATATTCTGCCATGGTTTAAAGCACCTGCCCAATCGCACCAAGCAGGAGCGCCCAGAATAGCAATCTGAACCTGTTTTGGCGCTCTCCCGAGCAGGCGCGCCCTGATTTGGGCGCTCTCCCGAGCGGGCGCGCCCAGAATAGCAATCTGAGACTGTTTTGGCGCTCTCCCGAGCGGGCGCGCCCATAATAGCAATATGAGCCTGTTTTGGCGCTCTCCGCGCCCAGAATAGCAATCTGAGCCTGCTTTGGCACTCTCCCGAGCAGGCGCGCCCAGAATAGCAATCTGAGCTTGTTCTGGCGCTCTCCCAAGCAGGCGCGCCCAGAATAGCAATCTGAGCATGTTTTGGCGCTCTCCCGAGCGGGCGCGCCCAGAACGGCAGCCCGAGCCTGTTTTGGCGCTCGCCCAAGCAGGCGCGCCCAGAATAGCAATCTGAGCCTGTTTTTGCGCTCTCCCGAGCGGGCGTGCCCAGAATAGCAATCTGAGCATGGAAACGCTCGAATCGGCAATCCTCAGCACATGAAACGCTCGAATCCGCAATCTGAGCACAGAAACGCTCGAATCCGCAATCTGAGCACGGAAACGCTCGAATCGGCAATCTGAGCACGGAAACGCTCGAATCCGCAATCTGACCACGGAAACGCTCGGATCCGCAATCTGAGCACGGAAACGCTCGAATCGGCAATCTGAGCACGGAAACGATCGAATCGGCAATCGGAGCACGGAAACGCTCGAATCGGCAATCTGAGCACGGAAACGCTCGAATCGGCAATCTGAGCACGGAAACGCTCGAATCGGCAATCTGAGCACGGAAACGCTAGAATCGGCAATCGGCACGGAAACGCTCGAATCGGCAATCTGAGCACGGAAACGCTCGAATCGGCAATCGGAGCAAAGGACCCGATCTCATCCCTCACCTCCCTTTCTCCTCCCAGATTGTGTGATTATGATATGTTTTGGCGCCGTCCTGCTCTTCTTCGGAGGGGGCGGCTTGTCTTGCTGCTGCTGGCCTTCTCTGGAACTCCTGCTGCTTTGCAGGAAATCCGAAAAACCAGAAAAACTCCCAATCTGCTTTGCAGGCTGAGTACCGTAATAATGATTGATATTATTGTAAGCCACCCAAACAGCGTTCTCAACAGGACCATCGATATCCACTGAAAATCATTGCGGCCGCCAAGCCCTCGTATGTGCAGAAAAATGGCCGGCGCCCCGCGCCAGCAAGGGGCTTGAGGGAAGCGCTGCCTGGCTGGGATCTTCTGGATCTCAATCCGAGACTCCCAGCCAAGACAGGGCACCGGCGAAAGCTGCGAGGGTGGTATGCGGGTGGGCCAGAGACGGCGCGCAGGCGCGGTGAGAAACAGCCCTTAGGGCTTGCGTTTGTCCGCGACAAGACACGACCCTGGGTTTGCCCGCGAAAAGGCAGGAACCCACCATGCCAGAGGCCCCCAAGTCGGCGGGCTTAGCGCCAGAGGCCTCCAAATCGGCAGGCGTGGCAAGCCAGAGGTCTCTAAGTCGGCGGACATGGCTGAGGATGTCCTCTCGGCGGCCAGGGTGGCGACGAGCGCGGGCACGCCAGACAGAGCGCTCCCGCCAGAGAGCATCACGCTCTTGAAGCAGCACTTGTCCGCGAGAAAGCAGGAAGCCTAGGTTTGCCCGCGAAAAGGCAAAGGCCCGAAGGGAAACAGCCCTTAGGGCTTGGGTTTGTCCGCGAGAAGACAGGGACCCTGGGTTTGCCCGCGAGAAGGCAGGGACCCATGCCAGAGGCCCCCAAGTCGGCGGGCTTGGCGCCAGAGGCCTCCAAGTCGGTAGGCGTGGCAAGCCAGAGGTCCCAAGTCGGCGGACATGGCTGTGCAAGAGCGGCAGGACGACACTCCCAGCGGTCAAGGCGACGAGGAGCGGCAAGAATCGACTAGCTTTCGACGCTGCTTCCTCCAGGAAGCTCAAGCGACGAGGACAACGGACACGCCTAGGCAACGAGGAGCTGCGGGCTGTGGCGACGAGGAGCGCGGGTAAGCCTCGAGAAACCCCACGCCAGCAGAGCCACGCCCAGGAGCTTACCTCCGCCGTTCCACGGAATCGCCGGCCTGCCCAGGACTACTAGCCCGCGAGGCAGGCGAAGAGGCATAGAGGCAAAGAAGGAAGGAGAAAACAATGCGAGAGCTTGCTCCTGATGATTTTCCTGTGACGGAAACAAGTTTACGCGCCATGAAAATCATTGCGGCCGCCAAGCCCTCGCATGTGCAGAAAAATGGCCGGCGCCCCGCGCCAGCAAGGGGCTTGAGGGAAGCGCTGCCTGGCTGGGATCTTCTGGATCTCAATCCGAGACTCCCAATGCACCAGAAGACGCCAGACAGCGCAGCAGCTTGCGATGCAATCGTGAATATTCGTCACCCAATGCACACGATCAGCGTCAACGCTGCCAGCTGCTTACTGATGCGTGTGCTTCTGCACCCCGCCGCCAATGTGCGCGGTGACGCGCATTTTCCCCCGCGGCCAATGTCCGCTGGCGCAGCCATGCCTGTCTTGTCCTCAGCGCTTGTGTGCTCGTTTGCGCTCTGCATGCGCGACCGCTCGCGCTTCTCAGCGTGCGTGCGCGTCTGCGCACCACTGCGCGACTTCGTCTGCTGCGGCGCGCTGCAACAAGCCATTGCATGCCAAGACGCGCATCTTTGCGCGTCTGCGCTCCTGTACACTTATGGCGCGCCTTTGGACATATGCGTGCATCCGCGCGCTTGCGCGCGCTTCTGAACTTGTGCGCGCCGCCTGTGCGCACGTGCACTTCGGCACGCGTTCCCGCGCGCTTCTGCACTCCGCGCCTCTGCGCGCTTGCGCGCGTTTCAGCGTCTCCGTGCGCGCTACTGCTCATTTCTTCGAGCATCGCGCGTCTTCGCACCTGTGCGCACGTCCGCGCGACACTCTGCGTCCCTTACCTATGAGCGCGAATATCTGCGCACCTCGGCACGCTGTTCCACGCTCGCGCGTCTCTGCGCGTCCGTGCGCACTGCGTGCTGCTGAGCGCTATGTGGACGATTTTGCGCGCCTCTTGCGCATGTGCGCTCCGCTGCCGCCTCTGCGATGTCTCTGCGCTCGCGCGTTTCCGCGTGCCGCTGCTTGCATGTGCGCGTCTGCGCGACGCTGCGCGTCCCTGCGCGTCAGCGCGTTCCGCGCGCCGCTGCGCAATTGTGGTCCTTCTGTGCGTTTTGCGCGTGCGCACTTGCGCGACCCGGCAGGCCCGTGCACCGGTGCGCGTCTGCGCGCTCCCGCGGGCCTGCGCGCGCTTCTGCGCCCCATCCCGCCTGCACGTGCCGCGCCCCGCATCGCACGCAATTGCGGAATCGCGTCCATCGCAATTCTGGGCGCACCAGCGCCGCCGAGCGCGGAATTGCGCTCCAAATGCTTATCTATGTGGGCGTCTCGCGCTGGAGACTGCACGAAACCGCGGAATGCGTCCGAATTGCAATTCTGGGCGCACCTGCGCCACCGAGCGCGGAAGAGCTCGGAGACGCGCTCAAAATGCTAATCTGGGCGCTCCGCGCCGCAGAATATAAGACTCGAACTGCGATTTCGGGCGCACCTGCGCCGCGAAGGCGCGAAAACTGCATTCATTGATGCCAATCTAAGGGTGCGGCGTCTTGTAACGCAGGCAACCGCTGAATCGCGTGCAATCGCAATTCTGGGCGCACCATCGCCGCTGAGCGCAGAACTGCGCTCTGAATACCACTGCGGGCGCCCCGCGCCGAAGATTTGGCAAACTCGCCCCGAAAACGATTTGGGCCGCCTCCTGCGCCGCCGAGCGCAGAAACGCACTTGGAATGACAATCTTGGCGCCAGAATGCGCGGAGTCGCGCTTAGTTGCAATTCTGGGCGCGCCTGCCAGAGTGCGCGGATTCGCGCTCCATTTGCGAATCTGCGCGCGCCTGCGCCAAAATGCGCGGACTCGCGCTCCGTTTGCGATTCTGGGCGCGCCTGCGCCAGAATGCACGGAGTCACGCTCGGTTTGCGATTCTGGTCGTACCTGCGCCAGAATACTCGGACTCGCGCTCCATTCTGAGCGCGCCTGCGCCAGAATGCACGGAATCGCGCTTCAGTTGTCATTCTGGGCGCGCCTGCGCAAGAATGCACGGATTAGCATTCAATTTGCGACTCTGGACGCGCCTGCGCAGAATGCGCGGGTTCGCGCTTCGTCTGCGATTGACTGCGCGGAGTCGCGCTGTATTTGCGCTTTTCGGCGCGCGTGCGCCAGAGAATACGAAGTCGCGCCCATTTGCGCTTCCAGGCGCGCCTGCGCCAGAGAATGCAGAATCGCGCTCCAGTTGTCATTCTGGGCGCGCCTGCGCAGACATGCGCGGATTCGGACTCCACTTGCGATTCTTCTCGCACCTGCGCCACAATGCGTTGATTCGGGCCCCATTTGCGCTTTCGGGCGCGCCTGCGCCGGAACGCGCGAATTCGCGTTAGCCCGAACGCGCTGAGTCCACTCCATGTGTGAATCTGGGTGCCCGCGCAAGAATGCGCGGAGTCGCGCTTAGTCGCAATTCTGGGCGCGCCTGCGCCAGAATGCTTGCGATTCTGGGGGCGCCTGCGCCAGAATGCGTGGAGTCGCGCTCCATTTGCGATTCTGGGCGCGCCCGCGCCAGAATGCGCGGAATCGCGCTCGGTTCGCTTCTGGTCGCGCCTGCGCTAGGATGCGCGGAGTCTCGCTCCATCTGCGATTCTGGGCGCGCCTGCGCCAGAATGCGCGG